CCTATGCTCTCTCCACATTCTTGATTTCGTTTGGCCTTTAGACTAGCAGGCCGCGGAGCACGCCCTTGGTCGGATTCCATGCTACAGTTCCTAAGCGCAGTATCACAGTTTTCTCATTGTTGCCAAGGACATTTCTAACGCCAAGGATGCAAGCCGTCGACACGACTTGGCATCTAGAACGGCAACTGAGGCCCTGTTTCAGGAACTCGTTAAGCACAAATTCTTCTACAAGTTTCGCCTTAACCTCGAGACAAACGAAGTCACTCATCTCTTTTGGGCCCACCCAGCGACTACTGCGCTGTTCAAGTTTCACTTCGACGTTCTGGTAGCTGACTGTACCTACAAGACAAACAAATACCAATTCAAGAACCAGCTACAATCCGCACGATTCGAAAGAGAAAACGACAAGCCCAGCATCGAACGAATCAAGGCAAAAGAGGAACTGGACGCGAGCCAACTTTCAGTGAGCGCATGGATTTGAGTCATCCTGCTACTCCACCTACAATGGTAGGTCTGCCCCCGATTGATATGCAACAGTTCGGCATCCACGAAGGAGACGTAATTTTGAGTTTCGAAGACGATTTCCTACCACCGCGTTCATGGGGTTTTGCCGGCCGTATCCCCTTTACTGACCAGCAGCCAAACGAGAAGCAGTAGACCAGGCAGAAGCTATACGTCTAAATATATGTTTTCTTGCAACTTCAACTTCCAATAATTAAAAAAAAGGAAATTTGCAATATGAACCTTCAAATGCGATGTAATGAGATTTACTCCACCTACTGGCCGCTACCGTGGACTCTGCTCTTGTGCGAACGCAAACTACTCGCCACGGGGTAGTCGACGTTGAAGCACAACTCGCATTTGAAGACACCCTCCTTGCCCTCGCGCTTTCACTTCAACCGGTTCGAAGCTCCATCGGGATTCTGCTCACACAAATACCGATGTTTGCGCAGCCCAGGCCCTTTTAGCATCTTGACACCGCAGAAACCACACACACCATGGCTCGGAAGAACATTTTGGACCACATCAGGTGTTATGGAGCTACAAGTACGACTCGACTTCGATCACGTGGCGAGCATTTGCACGTTTCTTGTCAGCTCCAAACTTTCCGAATTGTTTCTTGTACACTAGTCAATGCCCCACACAGAGTTTTAGCGGCGAGGTGGCATTCCGGATGATTGACTCTGTGGACGTCATATCACGGATAAACAGAGATTTCGGACTCCAATCCGGACCGGTGGGACTGACGTTACGCTCAGAAAACGAGTATGTCGATCGACTTCACCAGTTTATTTCCCGCTTCCTTACCGAGTAACCTGTCTGTCCGTCCGTCTGTCAATAAGTCCGTCCGGATCCTTTCTTTCTGCTTTTTCCTACCCTTTCGCATGGCTACAGCCGCCTGGCTAATACAGTTTCGTCCCATCTTACCGACCGCGCCTACCTTTCTGACTCGACCTAACTATGCAAAAATTACAAATATATCCAAAAGCGTGACACAATTAACTCGCGCGCGTATTTGTCAATATTGACCGACCTGCGACACTGACTGGATCTGTCGCACGATCAGACCGTCTCTCGCCCTCGCGATTGGACGTAAGGTAAACATTTCTGCCGAGCACGAAACGCATCGATTGGATGCAAACGGCCAGGCGAGCTGCGCAGATACTTGATTATTGCGCAAAACCTGTCGTATGTACTGCAAATCGGGCACACTAACTACTTTATTTTCTAAGAGCTCTGCACACTTCTCAAATAGAGATATTTATCATTATTATGTAGACTTCACAGACCAGTATTTGGTAAGAGCTCTAAGATGTTATTTTCCACACACTTTTCGAAGTAAAGACGATATTAATAGTAATATTACTAATATAAGCTTCACAGGCCGCATTTGTAAGAGCTCGGCGATGCTATTTTCCACAGACTTTCTAAAGTAGAGACGATAGTATTTTTTAATATTAAAGTAGGCTTCACGACCAGAACTTTTTGTAGGGACTTTGCGAATATATATCTTTTTTACTTCACCTGGCACTCAACACTACCACCGTGCAATGAAGGCGCGCGGCTGTACGGTCATTGCGGTATCTGCTCCCGTGCACCGCAACCGACGAATGCATGCGCGCACGATAGATAATTGTTTTAGTCAATTTATATGTATGTATTTGTTTGGAAATCTGATAATAATATATTAAAGCTAAGCCAAATAGTAATATTTTAGAACATTTTTAATATTTTGCCTAATAATAAATACCAGCCTTACAGTACCGTGCTATTGGCTAATATTTTGACGCAAGTAATTGTTAAAACAATAAGTTTGCTAACTTACTCACAGTTTGCAAAATGGTGAGCCTTACGTGCAAGCAATGCGAGGCGAAGATTGACCCGCTTCTACTGAACCCGCAGCGGTCTACGACGGACCCCCGAGCGCGCTGCGTCTGCTGCGGGAAGCTGCAGTACGGCTACGCTTTCCGCACAATCAGCGGACGGGACATCGTGCGGCGCTGTAAGCCTGCAAGAACCCCTAAAAGCGTTAAGTTTGGA